AGCCATGCCGACTGCAACATCCATGGACCCAATGAGTGCACCCGGGCCCATGGTGGATGCACTGGCCGGGTACAGACTCCCAGGCCCGTCTCTTCCAACGTTCAGAAGCGGGAAGCTTCGCAGGGCGAAGGTCAGGCCACAAAGTGGTGGCTCTGAGCCAGGAACCCTGCAATGCTGCCAGAAGGGAGGGAAAGGTGTGCAACTCTCCATTGAACTTCTTCCACGTGCCGCAATAGCTGCACACCTTCTTGGCTTGGTCCCATTCCTGCGCAGCCCGCCACAAGGCTTCGGTCGGCCGCCAGCCACGCCGCACATATCCTGAGTGGTGCGAGCATTGGTCGGATATTTGCTCAAAAAAACAGGTCGCACTAGGGCTGCTGGGTTGCAGTTTTTCCTATCATCTACTTCAGGATGTGCCTCGATCGTGACGCCACCTGTAGGACGTCGTCCGACGGTGTCACTCATAGACACATCCCTGAACCAAAAAGGTCGGAAGTCCAAAATTCACAAATTAGGAAGGCAAGCATCGTCCAACATAGTACTGTATGAACTCGCGGCGCGTGTACAAGTGAAGGTCCTTCGCCATCCTCTTCTCCAGCTTTCGATCCAGTGGGGTGGAAGTCGGCTCTGGAGCCGACTTGGCAGAAGGCGAGTCGGACAGAGGAGCTTCGCGAACTTCCAAGAATGTACGCGAAATGACCAGGCCTGCGTCTGCTCTTGCAGATGGCGCATCAAACTACGTCAAAATTCGCCGACCTCTTCAAAGTTTGCTAGTTTCCATCACTGCCGGGAAATGAATCAACCCATCATTTACTTGAACCCTTGGATTCTTTGATGGCACGGGTCAGACCCGACCTCTTCGCAGGGGTCCGTTTCAGGGACTGGATTCTTAGGGGAAAAGACACCCGCGGCGAGGAGCGGGAAGACAACGTGCGAGCGCCCTCGCCCTCGCCATGAATCCGGACCCCTCATGAACACCCACGCCTTCTGGCACTGAACCATCAGCCTTGTGAGCGGTGCACTCCTCATGGGGAAGGAGCAGCTCGCTCATCTGAAGAGTGCTTTTCACTTCGTCCACCGTTTCATCGTTCACTTCTTTCTTCGGCATGGCAAGAGGAGGAGAACTGAACCGGACGAGCACCTAGCTGAGTCAAAGCTGAGGATACACGTGTTCAAGATGGCATTCGGACACACGTGTTCAAGATGGCATTCGGACATTTCAGTCCGAGCTCCTTTCAGCAAATCACTGTTATTTAACTAATATGTGTCTGAGTTCGTTCAATTGAGGCTGAAGATTCAGTACCAGTGTCCTCTATAGAAGGGGAACTGCCCAAGTCCTAGCTGGTGATGAGGAAGAATCGATGGTCCCTTTCGGTAAAGATAGTTAGAACGGTTCACTGAATCATGATATATTACGATCCATTGCTTCAATAAGAGCAGGACATCAAAGAAAAACGAGTTGGGGTTCCCCTCTTGAGTTCGCTCGTTTCACGATGCCATATGCTTCACCTTCTCTTCCGTCGATCACAACGGGTCGAAGGGGGGGGGTGGCACCCGTTTGCTATGCTTATTGCTCGTTTGAGTGTACCTTGTGAGGATGCTGTGTCTGCCACATCCACGACCGTTCCATGGTCGTTCCTCCAACATGGTGGAGATCCAGAGCAGCTCTTCCCCATGGTCTGCAGTGCTGACAAAGCATATCTCCTACTATACAAGACAACCTTATCAAGTCGAAGAGCTGGAGCTTCGGTGAATAACATGTTATCACATAGAGGTTTCCAAAGAAGCAACGGCGTCCAAACATACCAATGCGGCAAGTGACCATGCGGTTTTCCGAAGAAAGACGGGCGATCCCTCCGCGCACCGTGTGGAGTTTCTTCTCCCCGAAATCGAGAACAACTTCAAAAGAGATCTTCAACTTTTCACCCAACGCTTGGTTGCACATCCTTCCAACACCCTTCGACCTCACCTGGATCGGCTCCACTCTTCTCAGTCTCCTTGCCAAGGTGCTCGGACCTGGCGAGGAAATGGGACGCTCCGCAGAGCGGATGCCGAGCAGAGATCGTTCCGTGGATCGGTTCTGGTGAGGCGCATCAATGCGAGTGACGCGAGTGAGTGACGCGAGGGAGACACCATTTGGGACACGCCCTTCATGTAGAAAAATCGTCGTTGACCATCTTCTGTCTCGCCTGAACTTGGACACCCGGAACTTGGGAATGATCAGATCGATCTGAGAACGCCTAGGCGACGCTCCAGCCGACGAAGTCGGCGCCAACACAAAGCGGATGGAACATTCGTCACCGCTTCGGGCGGCTTAGTCAGTTCGACGTGTAGGTCAGTCGCACCCACTCTCACTACGACCACCTCTAAGACAATTAGATGTGGATAAAACCGCCCCCAAAAAAGGATGTTTGCAATCTTGATTGGTAATGAAGGCTTTAATACCGGTCGTCGCCGGTTTTTCTATCTTTTTTTAAATCAGAATTTCATGGAATGAGTGCATTGACCACCTGAACACGATGAAAGAGCTGTATAAAATCAAGCGTGCTGAGCAATGATCAAAATCCACATTTTTATACGTGTTGACCCTAAAAGGTGACCTTACCCAAACCACTTTCTATAAAGCTGCGAGTCCTGACCCCACTCAAATTCACACTGAATGACATTGAAAGCTTCATGCCATTTCTACTGCTACTGCTACAGCTGCTACTACTCCTACTCCTTCTCCTACTACTGCTGCTGCTGATACAAAGCCAGCAACGCGCCCTACAGCTTGATGACAAACTAACTCACCAGGACGCACGTTGCCCCAAAAAGTCATTTCATTAATGCCTGCAAGGCTTGTCATCCTGCCGCTTCCCACCACCATTCAAGACATTCACCAGGAATATAGGCTCCACCAAGGGCTGCACCCCCTCATTTTACAAAGTGACATGCACATCTGCACATGTAATGAATCTTGACTGTCTATGAATCAAATCCACCCAAAGCCGGGACCAGGCCGTGTGAACCGATCAGTTGTGATCATATGATTATTTTGTTTCATTCATCATGATGTAGATGGTCTAGACGGTCTTGTCCAGGTAGTCAACATGTCTGGCTAACTTGAAAAACGACGGGGGGTGAACGCGAGGTTTCTTCCCAATACCAAAAAAAACTGCAACAACACGTTTTTTGCTAAACAGCAGGAGAACTCTAAGTAGCTGAAGCTACGTTTCGTGCTTTTCGGCGCCCTTCCACTCTGCGCCGCCCTGACTCACGACCGCCCTCCAGGCTCTCCGGGCCGCCCACGGCAGGTGCGCACGCGCGGTGGGTCCAGTGGCTGCAAGGCCATTTTGATAGGGTCATCGAAAGTCTGGGAGACGACATGTTCATAATGCCTCACCAAGCATGACCAAACCACTCTTTCATTCACGGATGTTTATACTTTGCTCCAACACATGACCAAAATCCAACACCAACAAGAATGCTCCAAGGTCTGTCTCTCCTCTGGGCCAAAAAGCCCCGGCTGAAGACCAAGCCCTCACGTTCCGCTTCAACCCTTCTTCCGCGTGTCGCCCGAAGCGCGCACGACACGCCCGAACCGCGCAGACCGCGCCCCGAAACACATGATACGCCCGGACCGGTCGAAGCGGCGGGGTCGCAGACTTTTTGGGGTGCCAGCCGACTGTTGCGGTCTGCGATGCGGTGAAATCGCGGTGAATTCGCATTTGGTGAGCATAGCGGCATCTTGTCATACCTGTAAGTTGGTCTTAGCTGTTTCTGCCAGCCAGGTGATGATGGTGATGTGAGGGCTAGACTTGAAAATTTGTGATCTTCACTTCTGGAAGCGGTTGATTGCTTCCCCTTTCTTCCTATGACTTCAACAACAGCTCCGCACAACAGCTCCGCATGCACATCACCATTCCGAACACCGCACACCAACGCCAAATGGAAGGAACCTGCGAATCGCTCTCGGCCGAAAATACATCGCCTCACTGGAGTGAATCTGAAGGCAACTCCATTGATGTGTGCTGTAAATTCTATTGTTTTAGCCTATTAACACACAAATATATACTATATAATACCATCCGAATCCCCCATCCAGAATAGAATTCCATTCATTCAAGGTCAATTGCGCCAAAATACTAGCCAATATTGCAATTGTCCCCATCAAAATTCTCGACTACTAAACTAACACATTCCCCACAAGGGCTAAACACACCAATTGTCAAATACCCAACTTAGAGACTTTAAGACCTGACACAAGGTATGTGTCATGAGTCATAAGTGCACAGATCTCCAGTGGAAGGTATTCGGCTTCGTGTTACTTCAGAGCTTCTGGACTACATGCCTTTCAGCAACCTTGCACTTGAAGGGAACTAGATGCAAATATAGGATTCAAGTTTCATTTGGGGATATCAACAATTCAAAATTCCTCAACCGTCTTTAACAAAATCTTCTCTACAGCTCACGCTTATGTATGAAAATTATACATTGGGAACAAGAATGTACTGTATAATGCACTAGTACAACCCCGGAACAAAGAACCAAGAGTCTGGGGAACTTGAAGAGAAATTCTTGTTCTGAGGTCCATCACCGGAGTAAGGTACTAAAGCATACTAGTTCAAACGAAAAACCAAGGATTCCTGCCAAGAGTTCTGTGCAAAGCTGGAACCGTTTTTTGGTGGTGCCTTTATTGCAGGAGGCCAGTCTCAAGTACCAGAAGGAAGAGTCTTCAGACATCTTCGACTCACATCCCAGTCTAATTTTCTAAACACCCCCAAGACAATCAACTCATCCAGCCATCAAATCGATTCCCATGTTCATGTTCAGAAAACATTGCACATATACAAAACAACACTTAAAGGTAGGTATCAGGAGGGCTACAGCAACTATAAATAGATTTTGAGCAAATACTGATTAATTATACAATATGATGAGAGTTTGATTGACGGTTGTTCAATTGATGGGAAAAGTTCCTTCACAGGCCTACAATGTCGTGACTGTGACAAATACTGTGACAAATCATGACAAATCTGTTGCATCCACTTCCCGCATCCGCAGGCAAACACCCTGCATCGCGTGTACATAAATGATCAATCAAACACTCGCATCGAAATAAATACTTAATTCCAAATTCGCTCAATCGTTCTTCCCATAGGGCAATTGGGGAACGACATACCTCAGTCAGCAGCAAAACACGTTTCAAACCTTCGAGCTAGATTTGTTACTCTTGACCAAATGCCACTGTTCACAAATCAAATCCTTGCCAAAACCACAACTTAAGACCTGGTCAGGTGACCACCAGCGCAAAGACACACCAAATACCCCTCTAATTTGTGGCTCCAATGAAAAGTCAGGGAATGGTGGACAAACGCTGTACATGATGTCACCGCGTCACGTGTGCTCTTGCGGTGCTCTCTCTCGGTGCTCTCTGAGCGGTGCTCTCTCTGCGTCTCTGAGCGTGCTGGCGTTGAAACAAGCCTCTGATCGAAGGTCACCCCCTGGCCAAGCCGAGAGCTGAACCGAGAGCAGCCTCAGGCTTTGCTGAGGTACAGTCGCATCAAGCGTAATAGAAAGCAAGCATGAGTCAGGGTAAACCCTTCCCAAGCACAGCAAAGCGCGGGTTTCGCTGTATGGACAACACGCTTCATCGAAAACATAGCACCAACCAGATTTGGTGCCTGGCGCTTAGTTGCCCCTTTGCTGGTCATATAGAACAATCATGCCTAGTTGCTGCCTCTTGTCTTGATTGAAGAGTATCTTCACGATTTGCTATCCTCACCATGAACACTAAGTTTCTTTTGAACAAATGCATCCTTCGTGCAGAAGAAAAGCTGAACTCTTGACCAAAGACAAATGTAAAGAAACCTCATACTCGTAAAACGCTTCTTTTTGGATTCCTTTGGACAGGTTTGTTGCTGTAAGATGCTGTAAGGATGTCAGCCCCGTCCTCAGAACTTGTTAACTGTGTTAGATGTTTTTTCACGCGTGGGGTAAGCACATTGGCGTCAATGGTGAAACGTCTGACCTGGTTTCTGGTTCCACAGCCCAAATCCTCAACCCCGGAAACAGCCATCCGAAATGCAATCAGCAAATACAAAACATCACCAGTCAAAATACGATAGTTTCGCTATGTAGACTGTGCTACCAGTAGGCACTGGCACAACATGTTCATACCACTTGCAGCTTTAGAGTGTTACGGGACAGCATTTTGGCATCAACTGCGCAGCCATCTCCAAGGGTCAAAGAGCAGGGTTGGTTCGCCCAAGGTCGACATCCTCACTTCCCTGGCCGAACAACGACTCAACGACTCAAAACGACGGCGACAGTGGTTTCAAAGGTGAGAGTGCCTGGCACTGGCACCGTCCTAGACAAAAATGGGGGTCCACATGGCTCCACAATCAACCACCAAACTTGGGGGGCGCGCGTGGGCCCCATGTGACGCGCCATGGTTGGCCGTACTTGGAGACCAATCGAAACACAAAAGCTCCATGATTGGCCCGCCGAAACCCATCTGATATGACTCTAGTGGCTGCAACACATGCATATGCTGCATGTTTGGTGGTCTAAAACTGCAGATAGCGCCTACTTAAAACACGCACGATCATACTAAATTACGAAAACAATCAGCTGCAATTCTGTGACAAAGCTCCACATTCAGCAACCACGCACCCACAACATAATGGATACATCACATCGATTCTAGTTTATTGAACACATCGCTGAACTTCCATCCAGGAGCTGAACAAAGCCGATGTTTGGATCTGGCAGGAGGCACCTCCACCTCCGCAGCTACACCTGCCAACTGGGAAGCTGGATCTGCTGGATCTTATACTCTGTTCTGAACATATTTACTTCATTGCTCGCTTACACCTCTCTTTTGATTCTCTGGTCAATCGTCCACCCCTTCTCTTACCATGTCTATGACCACATTGGGCTGGCTCCGCCCGGCCAACCGCACGGGTTCACCGCGTGTAGCAAGACCACGGACCCAGCGCTGCTGCTGACCGAGCTGGGGATCGTTTCCAGGGGGACCTAGCAGCATCCAATCGCTACGTTCGTGTCGTGATGCACCTTGTTACGTTCGTAGCGTCCTTGTGACCGGACCGTCGTTCCCCTCCAACCACCTCGTCCGGGTGCCCTTTCTCCGGTCCACCGTCCGGGGTCAAGCGTCAACCGCCTCGACGTTCATGAGCCTCGACCTGAGTCCAAAGCCCCACGCTGAAGGGTGTCAACTGAGCCTCGGCCGATCTCGGCTGCTATGCCATCCGGGTGATGTGGGGAACGTAGTTTCCTGGGGAAGCCCCTTTTCTTTGTCCTTTTTCCGGGGCTTCCCCTGCCAAAAAAAGGCGTTGATTGAGCCAGATTGAATCAGGTTGAAACAACATTTCTTCTTGCGATCAAAAGACCATTCAACCCAAATCTCATCATTGGGTGTACCCAAGCCACTATATTATAGTGATATATAGACTGTAGACTGTCCATACTACTGTCCATCAGAAGTGCATGTTAATGACCGAATGATCAGCGGTGATCCTGAATCATATTTTGTCAGACTTTGCCGGAAAAATAACACATTGTTTTCCTGAACACTTCACCGGATCAGGTGTCAAATCACTGCAAGATTCGACTTCAACACCATAAAACGCGGCAAATCCTTGCACAATGCATTCATTTGCACAGTCGATTCATGTCCGCTTGGCATCGCGGCTTGGAAGGTGTTGTGTGGGCTTGGAGGTAGCAAAGCATCCGTCCGTACCTTGACTTGAGAACCAACGCGGATACGCGGGAGTCCGGGAGGGATGCCACTTACCAGGGCCTCCGGGCCAGGTGTCGAATGAAAAAAATTGCTCCTTAGAGGTGATTCGGGGTATCCATTCATCACCCCTTAATGCCTTAGGGGGCCCTGGTAGATGTTCATTGAACACCACATGGTCAGCTCCAGTGAACACTTCTTGGGTCATTCGGAATCCATGCTCTATCGTAGATTCATGTAGATTCCCTGCCATGGTCGCTCTCGGGTTGGTCCGTTGGGCTAGCATTCTTTATGGAACCAACTTTCAAGGACTGAATAAAGCACATGAATTCTGCTTGCACACAATCTACTGTAGTGTACCTCATGCCTCATGCTTTTGGATCTATTCTTCCATTTCTTCATGCTTTCATCCAACTGACTTTAGAACCAACCGTCGCCCCCAAAAAAACATGGATTCACCCGCCTACCAGTTGTTCACTGCTCTGCCCATTTTTACCAATTCCGCGTCGGATCTGGGTCTCATTGCCTTGCACTGAAGCGTGGCGCGAATCCTTGGCACGTCACGAGGTCCAGCGATCGATCAGCCGATCCCTCCGCTTGATATACGCGATTGGCACCCCCTGTTACGCGCCAGGCAGGCACATCATTGCACATGCTATTATCATGTTCCCAGCTCTTGACTTGGGAGAATTATGAATAAATTCGTTGGGTTTTCCGGGGGTGGGTCATGAGAACGCTGCGGATGCGTCGATCGGGGGGGTACGACGTCAGCCCCATCCGCTGCGCTGTCTCTCAGCTCGGCGTCGGTGAATAATATTTTATATAATACATTTTGATACATCAGTCGACCAAACATCTCGCCACCCACTCAAGTTACGACGCCAAGTCGCTCTTGAAGATGTTCCTTGATGGCCTCGAACAAAGTGATTATGACATATTATATGTAAAAGCAAATTAGAAGTGCAGTTCTCTATCTACAGCAAAACCCTGGGAAGAAAATTGCGATAGAGGACGACACCTCTTCAAAGGGTCAAGATTGTTCTCAGCAGCTTCCAGGCCTCTCGGAAGTGCATCAACTCCGAAGAGCTTGGTGAAGGTGCCTGAAGAGCTCGTGAAGCGGAGAAAACATGCCCCATGCTCCATGCCGGATCCCGTACGGAAAACAACATGGCTGAAGCAAGCAAACCGGTCCCTGCGTTCCTTCCAACCTCCTTGATCATTGGGCTCTCGGTCAGGGTCTGGAAAACCCACCAGATCCGACACCAGATCCGTGCCATGGTGCCGGCAGCAAACCCTGCTTGACATCCACGAGCGCAGCGAAGTTGTTTGCTCAACAGAAGTTGCAACATTGCTTCCCATCCTCTAGGGCTGCAAAAGTGTACGGGGGAAAACACAAAGCTTCTGTACATGCTGGGAAGAACGTGAAAAATGGAGATTGAAGGAATGAACTCTCTGTGCTCACTTCTGTGCGGGCGGGCGCGCCAGGAATTCTATCCAGAGTTGACTGTTGCAATCACATGTCTCCTTTCCCATGCCAACGTGTGCTTTGAGGTCCTGAGGTGAGAATTAAATCTAGTAAAAATGTATATAATCAATTTGTAACAATGCTATCCTACATGCTTGGCTTTGTGGGCTACAGTCCGTCCAGAACGACCAGAGTTAGTGAGTGATGGACTTGCCGCCACGCCACTGCCTTGCTAAGATCGCTAAGATCTCTGATGTCTATCAATCTCCATGTTCTCTCAGGCCCATCATCGAACGCATTGCACATCCCTGTTGTTGTAGCGGCCAAAAAGGTGTGGGAAAACCCGCTATGTTGGGCCAACTTCTCCTCAGATCCCAACGGCATTGGCCAACTTCACCTTGATGTTGGAGATGGCACGGAGCCATAGCTTCCTCCCAAGGATTTCAGGCACCGAAAAAGAGCTGCGCTTCCGTGCGCCATTGGAGCTATTGGGTTTTCGGCGTATGTAGGGGCACCTTCATTGCCAATTCGGCAGAAGTAAACAAACTCGACGAGCACAGTTATTTACATACGGTGTTACTTGTACAATATCTCTCTTTTCGTTCTGTACTGGCGTTGTACCTACTAGGTGCCCCCCTAACAAGCACATGCAACAGCGGCACCAAACGGCACTCCTCTCGGACAACGTGCGGCTGCTGAAGTCATGCTGCTGCACCTGTTCATCTTTCAGGAGGCCAAAGCGGGCGGAAAACCAACGCCCGCTTGCGAGCGGGATGAGAATCTATCAAGAACACCAGCAAGGTGTATTCAACAGTCCATATTTGTGCATGCCAAAACAAATGGCAAACCAAGAACTTGCCAAGAACCCCCTCTGGACAAATTATGTTTGTTAGTGGTCTGCTTGACGCGCAAACGCAGGGCCCCAAGACTCTTCCTTGACTTGGCGTCCGCGCGGAAAAGCAGCTACAGTTGATGCCAATCTGCACGACGTGAGGGCTTGTGGAGCTGGTGCTATAAGGGTAATTAAAGTATATGTCGATATGTGTATTGTAATGGGAAGACCCACCACCAATGGGTTTTGGTCTTTTTCCCGACCATCCAGGGAGTTGTTGCCCGGGAGGGAGGTCTCCCTCGTGACTCGCCCCTTTTTGTGCCTTGACTATGAGCCTTGGTCTAGACTTCAGCATCTTCGGTGGCCCTTGTGACTCCAACGACGACTCTCTGTGACCAAGACGACGAAACCGCACGAACGGCTTCGAGATTGGCGTCTCCATTGGCCGAAGCGACCGAGGAAACGGATCCAAATCCGTCG